CCAGTGTATACTTTTGAACTCAGGAAGTTGTCAGGAATTAGTGGCACCATTCCTTCAGAAGGTGAGTTGGAAAATGAAAAATCGAAATGAGGTACACTCAATGAGAGGCATTCCTTGCACAGAGCTCCTAATCAAATTTTTAGTGTCTGATTCTTAAATGTGAATGGTTACCCAATGGACACTTGATGAATTCTTTCAGAACAAGCAAATAATGGAGCAGAAGCTGGGAAAGAAACCTGGAAGGAACTAACACTTAAAACAATCTTGGAAGAAACATGAAATTTTAAAAATTATCATCCTCATTATTAGAGAGAAAATTTTTGATTTCTTGAAACAACAACAAGATGCTATAAAAGACAACCAGCTTTTCAAAAGAGCTTTTGGAAATTAAAAATATAATGGCAGAAGTTTTGTAATCACTAGAAGGAATGAACGTCCTCAGAAAATGTCATAGAAGGTAGATTCAAGAAAAGAAGATATACAAGATTTTCAAGAAAAAAACACGGAGTCTCTAGAGGATCAATCTAGGAAACCTAACATCCAACTAACAGGAATTCCAAAAGATAAAAGAGAGAGATAAAGCAGAAGGGAGAAAAATAATCAAATAATATCACAAGCAAAATGATCAGAATTGAAATAAAGTTGTCCATTTGAAAAGGCCCTGAAGAGCAAAGCACAACAAATGTATTTAACACTCACATCAAGGCAAACCATCATGAAATTTTAGAATCAAGGGATTAAAGAGAAGACAGAGAGTTTCAGAGAGGCAACATAGGTGACACAGAAAGACAGGATCAAGAATCACAATGGCATCAGGCTTCCTATTAGCAATGCCAGAAGTTGCAAGACAGTGAACTAAATTAATTTCCAAACTCTGCATTTATACTTAACAAATATTTATGCAGTTGTGAGGATTACGGATAAAATTTTTTTCCAGACATGTACAATTTATACACACACACACATATATATATATAATGTCTCTCAATTAAATCCCAGTAAGGTAGGTTCTCTCTCTCTCTCTCTCTCTCTCTATATATATATATATATATATGTGTGTGTGTGTGTGTGTGTGTGTATATATATAAAACAAAATATACAACATACAAAATATTATATATATATATAGAGAGAGAGAGAGAGACAGAGACAGAGAGAGAGAGAGAGAGATACATCTTCTATGAGCTCTTAGTCAGGAGGCTACTGGATAATGTGGTAAACCAAAATGAGATAGTAAAGCAAGAAAGAGGTATACGTGTAATTCACAAAACAAGACCCAACACAGGAGAGATGTCAAGCTTCAGAAGGTCAGCCTTGGAAACTGAAACTAACCAGAACTGATGGAATCAGGAGAATGGATAATTCCAGGAGGGCTTCCCCAAGAAAGTAAAATGGAATTGATAAATAACCCAGTGTGTCTCACTGTACTGAGAAGAATTTTAGAATTCTGCAGAGTGCTTGGGAAGAATTCATAGTGAGGATACACAAAATCCAAGCAAATATATAAGAGGGCAATAGTTATTTGCGGGGGTTGGGGGGGGATGTTGCACAGGAAAGGAAATGTAATTATAATACAGTAGATGACTTGGTTGTGAACAACATTTAAATAGTCATCATAATGGTAACACTGATTACTGATGAACCTCCAACTGTGATGTATTATGAGAATGGACAGGGAATGAAAAGGAGTGTTACGGAAAAAGTCTTCATCTTCTGTCCTATTATGTGAACGAATCAATGTCTGAAACTCGAAAAATTACAAAGAGCTGTATCAGCATATCATTTCAAATTACAGAAGTCAATACAAAAGGAAGAGCCAAAAAGCTAAAGATAATCCATTTGGGAAAGTGGACATGGACTGGGAAGATGGCAGAAAGAACTAGTTGTGTTTGTGAAGGCCTTATCGACTGATACTTTAAGCTATATATACGTTTTACTTTGGTGAAATTAATAACTGAATTCATAAAATGTTTCAATATAATTTACTCTGGACAAAACAGATGAAAAGAGAAAAAATGATACAATTCTCAAAGATTCTTTAGTAGGCATTTTGATAAATATCCTATACACGGGCCTGATTAAAAAAATAACTTTTAGTAAACCAGAGCCAGCAGAAAATGTCCTTAACTTGAAAAAAGGTGTCTATCAGAAAGCCTCAATGTAAACATTATAAGTATTCCCCTCTAACTCAGGAACAAAGCTAAAATGCTCAGTTTTACTGTTACTATTCAGTATTACACTGGCAGTCCTGGCTAATGCACTAAGGCAAAAGAGAAAGAGAAAAGTAAGATAGAAAAAGAAAAGTATACGGTAAAATCATAAATTCTGAAAAAGAGGAGGCAAAACTGCTACTATTTTTGAAGATGTAATTATTTCTCCAGAAAGACACGAGACAATATTAAGAGAGAGAAGACCACTTAGTAAGACTCCTAAGCACAAGATCAGGGAACTCAAATCAATAGATTTCCCTTATGCCTACAAGAAATAACTAGAAAATGTAACAGGAAAATGAATTCCTATTTACAAATACAATTTTAAAATGCCTAGCACTAAAGTGACCCCAAAGGGTCCCAAGTTCAAAGAATCATGAATAGATGGAGAGAGATGCTATGTTTCTAACTGGGGTCATTCAGGATTTTTTTAAAAACATAAATTCTTCCTAAATTTATCTGTTCATTTAGTGTCTCTCAATTGAATCCCAATAAGGTAGGTTACAGAACACTACCTATAAAATCATAGTAACTAAAACATTTCAGTATTGAAACAAGAATGAAAAATAGAACTATGGATCAGAACATGGGTCACCAATGCAAATTCATACATAAAATTTAGTACACTAGTTCCCTTGTACCCACAGGGGATGCTTCCAGGAGCCCCAGTGGATGCTTGAAACTGCAGATAGTACCAAACTCTGGATATACTACGTTTTACCCTATCTATACATAAATAAGGCACACTAAAAGATTAATAACAATATCTAATAATAAAGTAGATCAACTATAACAATGTATTATACTAAAAATTATGTAAATGTGGTTTCTTTTCCTTTCTCAAAACATCATACTGTAGATATTAACACCCTCAACATATTATCTTTTTCTTTCAGGAAATTTCACATTTTCACCTAAAGGAAGCACTTGACGGCTTCTCTTTGGCATATCTGAATTGCCAGCATCAATCTTCTCATGCTTTGGGGCCATTATTGACTAAAATAAGGGTTCCTGGAACACGAGCTCTGTTACACCAGGACAGTCGATCTGATCACCAGGACAGCTACTCAGGGACTCATGGGCTGGTAGTGTCAACATTGTGGATACCCTGGATAAATGGATGGTTCACATCCTGGGCAGGATGGAGAGGGACAGCATGAGATTTCATCACATTCCTCGGAATGCAAAGTATCTTAAAACTCATGAATTATTTTCTGGAATTTTGCATTTAATGTTTTTGGACCCAGTTTTACTGCAAGTAACTGAAATTTCAGAAAGTAAAACTGTTGATAAGGGAGGAGTACTTTAGTTAATAATGGCATAAAAATATCAAATACCTACAAAGGAATCTAGCAGAAGGGCAAAACCTTCAGAGAGAAAAATACAAATTTTAATAGGAAATATGTTTAAAGTAATAATATACATAAACCATATTCACGAGATGGAAGTCATAATATTATAAAGATGTCCGTTCTCTTCAAACTGATTCATAGATTGAGTGCAGTTCCACACAAAATCTCAAGATTTCGACAGGCGAATTTGGGAGTCTAAGACAATCCGGAGGAAGAGGAAGAGATTTGCTCCCTCAGATGTCAAGAGTTCCTGGGAAGCTGCCATCACTGTGGCAGCGTGGTACTGGCATAAGGAGGGGCTGTCACAGGCCAAGGACAGAGAAGAGAGAACACAGAAGCACACCCTACCTCTATACTCCCAAAAAGGGTAGCACTGCGAATCAAGAGGGAAAAGGATAATTTCATCAGTTCATGGTGTCCTCAGAAAAACTGATAACAATCAAAACAAAGACTTCAAACTGTAGCTCAGACAAAAACCAATTTGATCTCAGATAAAACAGGAAAAGTAAAAAAAAAAAAAGTTCATTCAGATTGTGACTAAGCAAGCGGGAAGTTTGGGGTGACCTGCCTGGGCTGAGCCTGGCTAGAGGAGCTGTAAAGCGACCACAGGCACACGGAACACAAGATCAGACAGAATCAGTCTGGAAAAATAACTAAGAGACAATAAGGAGAATATCCCAAAGTTCTTAACAGCACAGGCAAACCTAAATAAAGCAAGACTGTGAAGATTGAATGGCAAGAGGTTATGGAGCTTGCAGAGGTCTAGAAACACATTAAGATCCCTCCTCAAAAATAAACACTCAATTTTTAAAAAATTAGAAATGACAAGAAACAAGAAACCTATTCAAAGGTAATTGTCATGGAGGAAAAGTTAGAGACAACTATTATGAACACAAAGTAAAAAACAGAAAAGATGAAAGCATAGGGGCAAATAAAAGCTGTGAAGGCTACAGTGGTTCCAATGTAATAACATTTCTGTTTAAAAATCCAAAAAATTTTCAGAGATCTTAGAGGAGGAGCTCTTCCTGGAATAACGGTAGCAGCGAATCTGCCACCTTCACACAGGAACAACTGTCAAAACTGACAGTGCTCACAGAAGTTGTCAGCATCACCTCATTTATAACAAGGGTGCATCTATCTTAACAAATCCATATCACAAGAGGCTTATATGTTAAATTTTAAGCCTTAATAAGATAAAAGTCACCATATACAAAGGTCATGGACAAGAAAAGTATATTTATACTTACAGAATATTTAGTGAATTCTCCCATATCATGAAAAAAAAAAGGACAAACACCTCAACGGAATCATACTGGCAAAAAATAAGCAATTTATAGAAGAGGGAATTTAAATGGCCAAGAAAGATGAAAAGCTGTTCAATTTTCCACATCGTAAGGAAAATACAAATTAAAACAAGATGTAACTCTTCATTCATCACCTTTGCAAACCGTGGCTGTGTGTAGGAAAATGGTTCGTCACATTCGCTATTGGTGAAATACATTCATTCAGACTCCTAGAAAGACAATTTGGCAGGACCAAGTAAATAACTGGACCCTGCGCCTCAATAATTCCATTTTTAAGGTTTAAAGATAAGATAAATACTTGTATAGATGTAAACCCACCCCCCCCACAAAAATGATTGCTATGATAGCTTATTGGTAAATGTGAACAGTTTAAAAACAACCTAGGCCGGGCGCGGTGGCTCAAGCCTGTAATCCCAGCACTTTGGGAGGCCGAGACGGGCGGATCACGAGGTCAGGAGATCGAGACCATCCTGGCTAACACGGTGAAACCCCGTCTCTACTAAAAAATACAAAAAGCTAGCCGGGCGAGGTGGCGGGCGCCTGTAGTCCCAGCTACTCGGGAGGCTGAGGTAGGAGAATGGCGTGAACTCGGGAGGCGGAGCTTGCAGCTTGCAGTGAGCTGAGATCACGCCACTGCACTCCAGCCCGGGTGAGAGAGCGAGACTCCATCTCAAAAAAAAAAAAAAAAAAAAAAAAAAAAAAACAACCTAAATGTCCTTCAACTGGAGAATAGTTAAATAATTATCATATATCAATTCTATGGAATAGCATGTATAAAAAGAATGAGGCAGATCTATATGTATTAAGGTTAAAAGATCTCTTAAGTTTTCCACTATTAAAATAAGTAAACATGCAAAATGCAGACTAGCACATGCAATGTAATTTATTACAAAACAAGAACATAAATTATGTATTTACAAAAAATGCATTAGATACATAAATGCATAGAAAAATATAAGAAAAGCTGTGCCCAAGACTCTTCACAGGACTGGGAAGGGAAGCTACAAGAATGGGTGAGTAGTAAAGATGACTTTTTCCTTAATATACTTCTCCACTGTTTTAAATTTAATGAACAATAATGTATAGTGTATTTCTTTTGTATTAAAAAATTTAAAAGATTAAGTAATGTTATTTCTGAATTCATTACTAGAGAAAAGATAGGATTTCCTTCTCTCTTCTGGTCAGAGGTATCCCCCATCTTGGGACAGGAAATTGAAGTAAAAATGAAAATATTTAGCCTTTTGTCACCTTGGCCCTTTTTCTTCCCTTTCCTTCATTTGATCAAGGTTGATGGTATAAGAACTCAGACCCTGAGCCAGTCATGGGAACAGCCGACAGATGCCCCTTGCCAGGACAGGTGAGATCACAGCATCTAATGTTTAAAAGTAAGCCAGGTGTTCACCCTCGAGTGCTTATTTTCTAAACCACCTTTTTGGACGTGACATATGTGAAGGTAGAGGAAGGCTGAGGGATGCGAAAGGGTTCAGAGATCATGAGGAAACAGTTAATCCCAGCCACCAACGACTGCTATGTTCAGAGTATCCCAGTCAGCTGAGCAGTAGATCCAAAACAAGAAAGTCACGTGTGTTATGGCAAGTTGGACTCACACCAACAGCTGTCCTGCTCCCGTTTAAAAAATCTAATTTCCCCATTACACGCTCTTTCATTTCATTATATTACATTGCACACCTATGTTCTTGCAAAGAAAGATTAAAGTAAAGTGAAGCCTTAGGCACAAACTGAAATATAAGGCATGAAAGCTCCAATACTGCCACAGATAAAGGTTAAAGGAAGAGAGGTAAAGACTTACCTGGTGCTCAGGTCGCCGCCACCATCTGCCATCTTCTCACCCTAGGCCCTGCCTGGGCCTCAGAGCCTGGCCTCTGAGCCCCTCCGTGGGCCCAGCCTGTGTGCAGTGTGGCTGCCCAGGCCCCAAGCAGGAAGTCGGCTAACAGACTGACTCAGAAAGGGCTCCGCCCAGATGGGGAAAAGAGAAGTGAAAGTATTTATTTAACCTCCTGCTGGCTATGAACACTGTGTTTCTCCTCCTTTTTCACTCCAAGGGGTTCTCAGCTTTTCTGAAATGTGGCAGAGGGTTGGAGGAGAGGCCTGACAAGCAGCAAGACCTGCAGGACCAGGGAAGGAGGGCCCAGGGGACGAGCAGGGCCAGCTCCCGGAAGTCCACTTGTTTGTGCAATGGACAACAAACAAATATCCTCGAACCAAAATTGTCCTTAGCTGCTCTGCCCTCTAAGAGGGGGCATAGTTTACATGGGAGCTGGGGGGAGTCTCCATGTTTGCCCCCTCCCCTTGCTGAGATGGCTGGGGGTGGGGGATGGAAGGTTGGAGGGTTGGAGGGTAAAGCTAGAAACTTTTAAATCTTCTCTCAGGCCCATCGAAGAGCCTGAACTGGACTAAGGTAGGTCTCAACATTGGGACCCAGGGCTGGAGAGAACCAAAATGCTCGGCATTATAACCTGAGGAGAGTGTTCTTAGCCTTCCTGGAAATCAACCAGACGTAAGAGAGAACTGTCCGCACCCCTGAGACCAGAGGCTAGAGCCAGCATGGTAAGAAAGGCAAACATTTTACGTGCAAGGGCTTAAGGAATCTTGACTACGGGGCCACCTCGCAACAGCCAGGGGTGAAGAGAACTTCGGAGAAGTAACTGGAATCTTGAGAAGACAAAAGCTTTTCATTGGAGGCGGATGGAGGTTGGAACCCAGATGATCTAGACATGGAAGGGCAGGGTGGCTCCTGCTGGGGGTTCTATCTCTGCCCAGATTTTCCATTTAGATTCTGATTCATCATTCCTCAAAGAACAAGAAGTGACCGAGAAGACTTGCTCTACATCAGTATAAAGTCATAGGTAAAGAAATAGAAGCAAAGGGCGCATGAGAATGGGGCCACAGGACACAACCAGGGACCAGAACTCCAGGCAGAACCATGTGGCAGGGACAGGGAGGCAGCTGGGAGCCTGGGGACACTGGAATCCGGGGCCCAAAGTCAGCAGAGGGTGGAAGCCAGTGAGGATTCAGGGGCGAGAGGGTATAGCGCTTCAGAACGATGTTTTCAAAATGGCATTCTACTGAATCCAACTTTTTCCAGCTGTGAATAAGGATGCTTGTCCAGGTACATTTGAAAATGTCGGGGAGGGAGTTTTCTACCCTCACTCTACTTCTGCCCTTCTTTTCCCCATGAGTGAATGACCAGGCATCAGGACACTGGTGAGGACAGCTTTTCCGGTGCGCAAGGTCACTGTTTCTATCAGGCACTGCACACCTGTAGGTCTCTCTCTCTTTCTCTTACTCTTGCTACCCCTCATGACTCCCCAACTTTATGGGGCTGAAGGGCTGGTAAGCTGAGCCTCTGTCTGGCACAGCTGTCCTTTGATCCCAATCTCCATGAGGCACACTGGCCCCAAGAAAGCCTGGCATGGACCACACCAGTATGCTCTGGTATGGTTCACATTCTCCCCTCTCGCTGCCTCTGGGCAGCAGGCAGGCCCAGGCCACTGAGCGGCACTGACATAAAGGTGCCAGCTTTTCCCTGGATGTGCTTAGGTGCTGCTAAGAGCAGCACCTGGAATTCCAGACCAATGAGCCACAGGTTGGCAGGGGATTCCTTAAGGGTTGAACTTCGCGGGCAGACACGCCCATGCTGGGGCACCTCCTGGCAGCAGGGAAGGAGACGTTCTTGTCGGATGAGGTTGGAGACAGATGAGCATGCACCATGCTCTGCTGGTATATGGAGAATCTGTAGGCCTCTGTGAAGAAAGCAAAGCTTCTTTGATCCAGAAAACAATGTCAGACACACCTGGGTTGGGAAAGGGACAGGACCAAATTAAGAAGTCGTGTGAACTCCTAAAAATCCTGCTGGATTATTTAGAAGGAAATAATGGAACTCCTGGGGCATTGTCCATGGCTGCAAGGAGCACAGGCAATAGGGAATGTTTCTGCTGTCACAGAAGTAGTTCCAGTTACTGGAGCCTGGAAAACTCAAAAGCAGGAGAGGCAGTGATTGAGGAAGGACCACAGGCAGGGCACCCAGCCAGGTCATGGGCCTCATACATTTCACCAAGAGCAGCTTCAGTTCAGACTTCAGTGATGTGGCTGAGGCAGGAGAATAGGGTCTGGAGGCAGGGAACCTAAGGCCATTTCATGCTAACTTCATAGAACTAAATTGAAAGGAAAACCCTAACTTTCCATGCCTAAGTAACAAAAGGTCCAGAGGCTATTCCCTTTGCAAACCTCCACCTTTTCTGTGGGGCAATGGGAAATTGAAAGTACCTATGTATAGTTGTTTCTTTTGCACCCAATCAGATGTTTGCCTAGGAGTGTAACTTTGTAACTTTACTTCAAAGTTAAGATAAAAGCTTTTCATTGGAGGCCAATGGAGGTTGGAACCCAGATGATCTAGACATGGAAGGGCAGGGTGGCTCCCACTGGGGGTTCTATCTCTGCCCAGATTTTCCATTTAGATTCTGATTCATCATTCCTCAAAGAACAAGAAGTGACGGAGAAGACTTGCTCCAAGTCTTCCTTTGCATAGAAGTGCAACTTTGTAACTTCGCTTTAGCCTGTGATTTGCACAGGAGTGTGACCTTTATAACTTCACTTCAGCCTTTGATTGGTTGCTTTCCGCAACCAATGAGACTGATGGCAGGCCACCACTCATTTACATGAGGTGAGCACCAAGTGGTCAATGGGAAACCTCCAGCGGGTATTTGGACCAGAGAAGATTCTGTATCCAAGACCACTGAACACGGCTCGTGCCTGGTCCCACACTGTGGAGTGTACTTCCATTTTCAATAAATCCCTGCTTTCGTTCTTTTGTTGCTTCATTCTTTTCTTGCTTTGCTGTGCGCTTTGTCCAATTCTTTGTTCAAAACTCCAAGAACCTGGACAATTTGCAGTCAAGACCCTCTACTGGTGGGGGTGATTCTTGAACCTGGGACCCCCGTGTGGGAACCAGAGGTCTATCCCTGAGATGAGGTCACTGGCCTCATGGACCGGAGAGTTTCAGGACAGGAGGCAGCTGCAGCAACAGCACCACTGGGACATGAGAATAGAGAACCTGGCCACCCTCCAAGGGACGTAGAAGTGATAAGTGAAGAGCAGACACCTGGGATATTTAGCGGGAGCACCCAGTCCTGCCGAACTGCCTCCTTCTAGGAGGTGGAACATCAATCAATCAAGGCCCGGTCCTCGCCCATCTTCTAGGGGACTCTTCTCTAACTGGGAGTGGGAGTGAGCCTGCTCCTTGCTGGGCCTCCCTGGAGTCATCCTGCCTGCAGAGGATGGCTCCTGCCTGCAGAGCTTGGCTCCTCCAAGCTCAAGTGCACAAGGACAGGGGCCTGCATAGTGTGGGGGAGGGCTGGAGCAGCCTGAGGCCGTGCGACTAAGCCCAGTTCTGGAGTTCAGTGTTGGGGGTCCCTTTATTGCCACATATCTAAGCCACATCCCCAATCCAGCTTTTATCAGGAATAAAGTTGGTATTTCGATCCCCATCTGTCTCTCCATTTTGCCTATATCTCAAAGGGTTCAAGCACATGGGTATGCGTCTCTCTTCTCAGGTTCTCTTCTATCTGTGCCCCAGATGGCTAGAGGCTGGGGTCATTGCTCCTTGCAATTGCATGATTGTGATACAATTATCCCCTGGGCTCAGCGGGCATTTGGTGGCAATATTTCAGCTTTTAGGAAGTTGGGTGAGACCAGGCTGGTCTGATCCTCCCCGGCCCACTCACCAGGGTCCCCTGCTCAGCAGAGCCTCAGTGACTGGCCTAAAGATGGAGCTTTGGGCACCTGAGCCTGCAACACTGTAAGATGCCAGTGGGATTGTTGGAGGTGGAAATGTGATTACTGCTGTTGAATGGAGTGAATCCCTGGAAAACGGGCGAATGGGAAGAGGTACCCTGGCAGGGGAGGAAGAGGCTATGGGTGAAGGGTTGTAGGGAGTCAGAAAGACAAGGGGAGCATTGGACAACACCGGAGCCCCTCTGGACACCTTCTGAAGGTGGGGACCATTCATGAGAAATCCCGAGGACGCCCTCAGTCCTTATGCAGCACCAGGAGGAAACAGACTGGCCCAGGGCCGCCCCTGAGTCCGCATCATCACGCAGGGTCCTTCAGCTGAGCCCCTGTCCTATCTGTCGTGGAACATCCTAAGATCCCTGTCCCCTGGTAACTGACGGACAGCACAGGCTCCTGGTGGTCCATGGGCGCCACTTCATGCCTCCTTTCTGAGGCCACCCAGCCGGCGAGGCCGGCCACGGACACACGGTGAGCACGCGCAACGAGCAAGGTGCCCGTGACCGCCATTCCGCGTGTGCGCCTCCCGCCTTCCCGTCCCCGCTGCCGCCCCGCGCTGCTCCGGGCTCCGCCCCCGCCGGGCCTGCGCCCCCTCTCCCCGCCGCGCATAGCGCTGCAGCCGCTTTAGGGCTGGGCGGAAACAGAAACCGAAAATCCTCTTATCGGGATTCTAGCTCACCAAACCCTTCGAAGTGTGTGGTAGAAGGGCCGTAGTTCCTTCTAAATAAAGTCGAACCCATGTAAGGACTGGGTTCTGAGATCATTTGGCCCTCTGGCAGCTCAGGAGCACCACGGGGTCGCCGCCTGCCCTCTGTTCAGCCCGTGAGGGGCGGGGGACTCTGCCCTTAGCTCCTCCTGGTTCCTGTCCTCTTCCCTGAGTTTCATTCCTTCCGGAGCCACGAGCGGTGCTGCCTTCTGCACCTCCCTGGAGGCTGAAGCCCTCAAGCCTGCCCCGCACCCTAAGGCCCTGCAGGACACTCCTGCTGTCCTTGCGGGGCACACTGATGTGACTCGATGCTGAGCAGTTGAAAGCATTCAAAAATAGTGGGCAAACGGCAACAACAGGTGGCATGGAGTGAATTAGAAGACACAAGACTTCAAAGAAGTGCGTTTCATGCAGAGACGTTTGGCAATGCCCCAAAACCCAGTCTCCCCGGGTGAGGGGAAGGGGGCTTCACTTTCGCTTTAGTTTCACTTTGAGCCCCAACTGCTGGACTGCAGAGGAACGACCCTACAGGCTCACTGTGTTTCACATTCTGGTGATTCCTGGTGACATCTTCCTGTGTTCACCAGTGTGTCCCCGTTAGCACTTGAGGCTGTCACCTGACATATGGAACCAGGCAGCTCCATGTTGGATGCCTCCACCAGCATGGAACTAAGGCTTCAGGGT